TAACTAGATTATAAACCATCTAGGTTTGAAGTGATTTTCAAAATAAGTCATGAGGTTCCAATTTTCTCAAATAAAACCTTGATGTTTTGAAATTGTATTAACTTACACATTTGTCTCTTTGAAAGTCTATTCCTCCATTAAAATAGTAAGTTTTTTTGTCAATGAAGTACAAATACGACATATACGTTAGCTTAGTAAGGGTCTCAAGCTCACTATGCCATCAATTGAATGATACAATTGATTCAACCAACAGCTCAAATTGATACAATGTCAATCATTTGGGATGTAATATAAGAAAATCAAAACTTCATGGCTCATTCTAAATATCATTTCAAATCTGAGAGTGGGTTCAACAATTTCAATCATTTGTTTGATGTAACCTTTGCGAATTCAGGTACTCCTCCTTGATTATTCGGGCGATTTGGAGAGTGGGTTCAACAATTTGGGGTTATATTTTTCAAATTCTAAAGGTACAAATCTACTAGGTTTTGATCCAAAAGGGTTTTGGTTGGAATCAGTTCAAGAATTTGGTATTTTCAAGTATGGATCTTCTCTTTGTGAACCCAGGTGGAGGAGACCCAAATCCTCCCAATTTTCCAGAAAACTATAAAGTTAAAAGAAAAAAAAAATTCAAATCAACTACTATTGGGTTTCTTTTGTGAGCCCAGAAAAACTAGGGTCTCTTTCAAGATGAAAGAAAACGAAAATGGAAAATGAAAATCAGAATGAAAAAGGAAGAAGAAGGGAAGAAAAGAGACGGGAGGGCAGAGAAAAGGTCAAGAACTACAACAGCGCCACTCTGGCGATGGGTCGAAAATTTTTATGTATCAAATGTTGAAAACTACAAAATTTGAAAATAATAAACTGATATTTACCTTATATTTTAATTTGAAAAAGCCTTTTCATTCGGATTCCATAAGGCTAAAAAGGGAGTTTGATGGGGGAGGATCAAATCAGAACCAACTTCGTCAAAAGATTCAGCAAACAAAGTCAATGTGGGTTTACGAAGTTTGAAAATACAAGTGGTAACCCACACAATATCGAATTATATCAAAGTCATGACAAGACATTAGTCTTTTGGCCTATCCCCTTAGTTTGACCATCACACACAAATGAAACGAAATCTATCAAAAGAAAATAAATAATGTCTAATCAGAACTCGAATGTGTCTAACAAACCCTCCCCAGTCCCTACTCTCCCTCCCTCTCGATCCTATGGTTATGACACTTTGACACACCTTACCACCACATCACCAACTCAGGAAAATCAATTCGAAGGTTGAAAATAGCACCAAGGCATCATGATTGAAATCTCATTATGGTGAAAATGACTTTATACGAAACGAGTACACTGAATTTTAACGTTTTGGTATAATGATGCTATGTTATGTGTAAATTACTCTTGACGTAAGATTACATTACAAAATCGGAATGTCATGTGACGAGAAACTTATTTTATGTAAGTTACTCTTCCTTTATGGACTAAAAATGAAGGCCTACTGATACCATATGCTATTGTTCTGGTATTTGAAATCAATAACACAAAGCTTGTATGTACCTATTTGGCTATTTCATTAAATAACTCTTCTACTCGTAAGTGCTTTTATTAGAAGCACACCAAAACTTTAATAACAAATGCAAGTTTTATTTTTTATTTTTTGGAAAAATACTTGAAATAAAGAGAATGTGCTTTTCTCATAATAACTTTTAACTTTTTATAACAAACACTGTCAGAAACGCTTTTGATGATCTTAAAACATTTTTGGTTATTTTAATCACTTTTAAACAACCTCAAAATCATGAACTTTTTCACATAACAATACATTATTAATTTAAAATACCGTCACAGTTACATACATGATATAAAAATGTTTTTCTACCAAGAAACGGTCCTTCTATATGGATAAAACCCAAACCTAAATCCATTAAATATGGAAAATTGAAGTAAAAATAGGGATATAGCCTTATAGGGCATTTGAATAAACCCTAACATTTGTATGGGTTTTCTCTTTGCTATGATGCCATATTTTGTCTAGCTATTATTTTCTTTGCATCAGCATTGACCCTCATTTGCAGAGTAGTATCCTTAAGATTCTAGTCATCATAACAGTATCTAGACGTTTAAAGTGTTGGAGGGGGTTTATGTGGCCCAAACGATTAGACACCTAAAGTACTTAACAGATTGATTTGTTTCAACATTGTTAATTGAACATTCCTTGATCAACAATCAGTGCCATGCCGTACTTCTTAGCTCGGTAGGGAGAAAACTTGGTTACACCGATTTCATATACCCATTTTGTATGCCTCACGCATTCGCCATACATGTTTACTTGCTGTGTCAGGCAAAGACAACTAGTGCATGGAACTGGATGTGAGAATTTATATCTTTATTAAGAGAATTCACAAATTTGATTGCAAAACTTGTCATGTGATGTGTAAGATAGACACGATTGGTGTGTAAGGCAGGGATGAGAGTTATTTTCCCAAGGTACTTTAGGCAAATCTAAAATGTATGGAGGGGGTTTGAACTTTTTCTATACAATCAATGTATGAGCACAATTTCTAATTAATGGGACTATGCTCATGTCTGTATGGGAATTACAAATGTTTGTATTACAACAATATTCTAATTAATCTAATATCAACTAAGAAGAGAGACTCGAATGAGGTTTAGGAAAATTAACAATATAATTATGAAATGCTCTAACATTGTGTTTGGATGAGGAAATTTAAGATTGTTAAGGAATTCCAAAATGACAAAATTTTATTTTTTTAGAATTTGTGAATTTAGGAAAATTAACAATATAATTATGAAATGCTCTAACATTGTGTTTGGATGAGGAAATTTAAAATTGTTAAGGAATTCCAAAATGACATAATTTTATTTTTTAGAATTTGTGAATTTTCTTATTTGGTTAAAACAACAAAATTTTATTTTTTAGAATTTGTTAATTTTCTTATTTGGTTAACCTAAAAGAACAATGCAATTTGAATACGAAATTTAATGTATATAGAGAGTCCTTAATATATAAATGAAAGATAGTAGTTATGAATGTGCTAGTAGTGGTGGTGACAACGGTGGTTTGGGGGGGGGGGTTGTGGCGGGGGTGGTGGCAGCAATGGTGATGACAATGGGTGGTAGCAGTGCCAGAAATAGGGGCCACAACGCCATGTGGTGGTGGCAACAACCGTGATGGTAATGATGATGGTGTGTGGTGGTGTTGGCGGCCACTCATAGTTGAGTTTTTTTTTTTTTTTGTATATTTTATAATTGAACTCTCACTCATAGAAGTTAGTAATTAACACTTATTGACATGGAACATTTTAATTTGAGAATTGGAGGGTTCTAAATTTCAAGTTTTTTTTATTTTTTGGTTTGCACACAAAAACTCTTTCTATGCTTATGAGTCCAAACAAAAGAATTTGTGCTTGTCAATTTATTAAGGAAAAATTAGTATCTGGTCCCTAGTTCTTACTGTTCATTGACTAAGACCTTATTAGTTCTCAAATTTTGATTCAAGTCCCTAGCATTAATGTGATAATGAATTTACATGTTTATTATATAAATTTTTAATATAAAAATAGTAATTAATTTAGGGTTTAATACTCACACCCCTATTAAACTTCTAATTAATTTTCAATTCAAACATTTCCAAAATAATAAAAAATTAAATTAAATTAAGTTTGTACCTCCTAGTTTTTTTTTTATATATATAAAAAGATTCTTAATTTTTTAATCTTAAATGTACCCATTCATATAATTTTTCAATTTTTTTAATCTTAAATGTACCCATTCTCAAATATATCAATTTGTTATATGTAAAATGTACCATTTTTTAATATAAAATCCATTCAAATTTTTTAATCCATGTTTAAACTTATATGGGTACATTCTTTTTCGTTGATTTGAGAATGTATCCATGTTTTGGTACAATAACTTTTTTTGTTAATTTTGGTTAATGTACCCATACATATATGTGTACACACACACACAATACAATAGAGTATAATTTATATTTTATTATTTTTAATCCCATAAATTATGGATTTTATTTAAAATCTCATTAATATAAACAATTACAAATTTCAATTTTTAATTTTTAATTTAAAAAAATATAGTAACTTATATAATTACATTAGTGTTAGGGACATCAATCAAAAACTAAAAACTAATAAGGTTTCAATCAAAGAATATTGATAGCTAAGAACTGCATCCAAAGTGTCCCATATATTAATTCTGACTTCGTATAAATTCCAACTTTATTTTGTTCATTCAGTGTAAAAGAAGGTTTAGTACACTAGACAAGGGAGACCTTTTATTTGTTGGGCCGTAGTTTTCTCATTAAGGGGCTTTCGGTTTTGGTAGATGTTTAGGATTTTTTTTTCTTCATAAATTCATCTTGGACTGTGGATAAGATTGCGGGCCTGCATTTAGACGAACCAATTTCGGCGGACCAAGTTATTCTCAAGAGACCACGGGCTGGTTTGGTATTGCTGTGCTTTGAAAAAAAACTGCTGTGAGAATAAGCAGCTGTAAAATAAAGCAGCAAAGTATTTAGTAAACTTTTTTGTAAAAGTTCTTTTGAAAAAAAAAGCAGTCTGATAGTGGGTCTTTTCATTAAAGGAGTACTGCAGTTCCGTGTGCTTTGAAAAAAAGCCAGTTTTCCAAAGCTGCAAATAGCAGCTTCAGCTTTTTCCTTTGATTTCAGCTTATTCTCACAGCAGCTTCCAAAATAAGCCTATTTTTTTTAGTTTACCAAACACCTAAAACCCTCACAGCTTTTTTTCATGGATGCTTTTTTTTTTTAAGCACCTCACTCCTAAACCACCCATACTTCAGATCTAATCAAAGGACAATATTCAGCATAGAATATGCTAACATCAGTAGTGGACGGATAAACCTATCACAGCCGTTGATGTTTATAGGACCCAACTGTGGGTCCCACTCTCACCGATGACTGATAGAATCAAGCGCCCAAAAGCGACTGGGGTTAGCACAACTCACAATAAGCTTCAAATTCCTCTTTGTAGTACATTAAAAAGTACATAATTTTGTTCGAGAGTAAGCGAAAAAAGGGAGTACAATTTCAATGTAATTCACAACATTTGTGTTCAAGAACTCAGCAGAATAATAAAGGAGGAAGAATATACAAATAGAAAACTAAAAATCCTCTGCTGTTTTCTATATTTCCTTTTAGCTGAAGAAGCAATGTAATGTGACGCCAAATAATGCTAGAAAAGGAGTTAGAATTGAACAAACCTATTTCTTCCGAAGATTTGAGAGGCTTAGTTTCCAGAACAATATCCTTGCCAACATCTGCAATTATCTGTCCTATCATTATACAAATCTGGGTGCGTCATTGGAAAAAGTAAGCACAGGAAACCCACAATTCCAGCTACAGACGCCATGGCTATTAACCCTGGGAAAATAACGAGTATAAAGATGAGATCCAGGAATGTAACTAACACAACAAAGTAAAAAACACACCGCCGGAAGGAGACAACACAGCATTAGAATTTTGGAGGTCTTTTAAGTGATACATTTTCACTTCGTACTGAAAGACGTTCTGGTTATTCACAAGAAGAATATTTGGCTTAAGTTTGCTACTTTCCTATTTCTTCTTTTCATCTGAATGTAACTAAGTTTGCTACTAGGTGAAGTAAAACTGAAAGACGTTCTACAGTGATCAGGACTCCATGCCCCAAAATATAGTTGCAACTTTCCTATTTCTTCTTTTCATCTGAATGGCTCATTTTATTCTTGTTCTTTACAATCGCTTGGGTGTCTTCCCCATCTCCTTTTACACACATGATTTTCGTGCAGCTAAGTAAAAGATTAAACAATGGAAAATTCGCTCTTCATTCTTTACGTGCAGTGCAGATACCCAAGTTTCATGAGATAATTTCATGATGGTAAAACGAAGAAAAACAATAGTACATATAGAATGGTTTTAGAATTGCTAATAACACATTGCAGAAGTTTCTGAAGTATGATCAACATCTATGATATTGATAAATCGCAAGCAGGTTACTTTCTAAAACTACATTCTATTATTTCTCAGGTATGTAGTTTTTATCTTTTTTGGTAAATAGGTACTCATTTGGTTGCTAGGAAACCGAACTCTCATACCTTTCCCTCGTGAAACTAGCATAGGCAATCCCATAAAGTTGCAGAATGCGTGAGCAACTAAAGGAGCAAGAAAATGTCCTGCATCGAATAAATATGACTCGTATCAACAACATACAAAAGTATCTCATGGAAAGAAAAGGAAATGAAAAAGCTCCCCATATGCACACTGCATACCTCATTAAGTACTATATTATAATCAATGTAACACAAAAGCCTACTGTGAAGGACAAGAGACACAATAACAATTATACAGAAAGGTGTTAACTATCACCTACCAGTTTGAATGAAGAGAAAAGATGCATATGAGCCAAAGACGACGGTATAGCCAAGCTGGAGACCTGTCAAACGCACATTCAATTAATTGATTATCATGTTGACAATTGTACATTTTTACAGATAAAAATACCGCAGATTGAGTGTCCTAAAGAAAAGGGGGAGGGATTCCATGATGCAACAGCCTAGCGCTACTGATTCTCTAGGTTGAATCTCTCTGTCCTCCCCATGCAAGGAGAGAAAAGTTGAGCATACCTATAACCATGAAGGCTTTCATCAAGTTATAGTTTTGCCTGCTGTAGACCTCCATTAGATGATTTAAATGTGCTGCAAAAATTAACCTTGCACAATAAGATTAAATTTTCTCCCAGTTCAGTCAACAAATGTGACCTACAAAAGAAAACTATACTATTTTCAAATGAAATGTCATAGCGAGTACTTATGTAGAGCAGGCAAAAAAAATATTGGCCACACAAAAGAATATATCGAAGGGATTTTGCTGCACTAACAAATTTGGAATTTCTGAGAGTAAAAGTAACCAGAAGACAAAATTTTGTAGTTTTACGTTGAGGGTCAATCATCAAGGGTTTCTGGGATTGAAAACGGAGAATATATAAGATATGGTTAAATCATATTTTAACATATACACAAGCATGAATTACCAGTAACCACAGACACAAACAGTGAGCACGATACTTTGCTATTTAACAGCATTGCAAATGTAGAAGTTGCCAGTCAGCAAGGCCATCAACTATTAATACACAATCACCAGGTTCTTAGTAAATAACCAGATTAATGGTCATGACAGACATCTAATATGACATTTGCTTAACTTACCCAAACTAAAGAAAATGGGGCAGAGTAAGATGACTGTGGATTTTTGGAATCCTCCGCAGAGAAGTAATGGGATCATACATGCTCTAAACACCAACTCTTCGGTAATAGGAGCCTGTTGAAAAATACTGCCAATGAATTGACGCAACAAAAAATACTATTTAAACCAACTGAAGCCAAAGATACATATTGATAAAAGTAGGACACTCAATCTATATCTTCATCACGCGAAGATTCCAATTGCGAACCAGGAAAAGTTAACGTGAAATATATTCATTATAGGGTTTACATAAAAAAAGAATAATTTAATTCAGCACCAAAATTACAAGGAAACTTACCACAATATAATTACGCCAAACCAAGACATTGGAAGCCATTGAGCGCGTGCAGGCAACAGCCTCTTGTGAGACATTTTTGATATATTCGAACGAAAAGCCTCCACCATAATTCATATCTTCCCTCAATGAATTCACTAGCATTAGCACCTTAAGGACCAAGGATCCAGCATACATGAGAGCAGTCAAAGACAGAGGAAAGACCATGGCTTGCCACTGTTTCACACATAAAATCGCGATTCAGCATGCCAATTTTAGCAAGCATTCACCGTTTTCCAATCTACACACGATACATAGCGAAAAACGGCTGCTTCTTTTAGGTAATCACTAGGAGGGATTTACCAAAAACAAAAAAGGAACCCAACAATATCAAGATTGTATCTTAGCATAATATACTCACAATATGGTCCGTTCGGATTCCGTATACACTTAACAGAGATGATACGTCCCTGCTTTTCATCTGGCATTATTCAACAATGTTAACAAAGGGAGATAAAAAAATAACAAAATTTCAATTGTTCAACATTTAAGCATTACCCAGTAACAGCAATTTAATCTATTTTCTTCCTTGAACAGTAATTTCATCTACTTCATATCATACAAAAACATTCAAATTTCCTAATATGCTAAATTTTCTGCTTAGTTACAGAGCTGACATTGTTCAAAGCGATAATCAAAGAAGCTGAAGATCTGTACTGGGTCAATCGAAACTGGGAAGTTAAAGAGGACTTACAGGGAGTAGGAGGGAGGAGACGACGACGGAGACGACGGATGAAATGGCGGCGCATAAGAACCGTCGGATCATGAAGTTCTTGAAGGAAGGAGGAGGAGGGAGACGGAGGATCAGAGTCGGGGCGTAGAGAATGGCTACGTAGAACAGCGCCATGGCAGCGCAGGCCACCACTGCCACTGCTTTCGAAACGCCGCCGTCGTCCATTTTTCAGTTGAGAGACGGAGATTACCGGCTCACTGTAGCGGTCGTTGGTATTGAATTTCGATGGTTTTTTCTGGGTTTTTATGTTGACTTGGATAACAGAGGGGCAACACTGTAATTTAACCATCATAAGAACGTCACCTAGCCAATACCGGACGGCAAAGCTCATCGGCTCAACTATGAAAAGACGGAAAAGCCCTTACTTCCCCTCCAAAATACAACCGCTTTCTGTGTTTAACTAATCTCCCCACGTCGCTGGAATACTCCCACACACCCTCCTTCCTCTTCCTCTCCCTCTCTCGATCCCCCAATTTCCGCAAACCCTAATCGATCTCGCCCCCGAATTCCCCAAATCCGCCACCCGAGCTCTCCCGATCGGACAATGACCAAGGATTTCGCCGTCCCCCCTGTGGTATTCCCCTCTGGCGGCAACCCTAGCGCCGTCGCAGCCAACAACATCCAGCAACGACGCGTCGCAACGGCGCCGTTTCAGCCCCCGCGCACCTCAACCTCCTCCATCCCTTTCATGTCCTTCGACATCGGTTCCGCCGCCGCCTCGTCGTCGTCCTCCTCCCTCTTCGGAGGCCCGATCGGATCCTCCTCCGTCCCCGGCGGCTCCGCCTCTTTCGAGGACGAGGAGCCCCTCCTTGACGAGCTTGGTATCCACCCTGACCAAATTTGGAGAAAAACCAAGTCCATCCTCAACCCGTTCCGGTCCAACCCGGCGGTCCACAAGGACTCGGACCTCTCCGGGCCTATCCTCCTCTACATGTCACTCTGCCTCTTCCAACTCCTCGCCGGAAAAATTCAGTTCGGTGTCATACTCGGGTGGATCGTCGTTTCATCAATCTTCCTCTACATCGTCTTCAACATGCTCGCCGGGCGTAACGGCAATCTCGACCTGCACAGATGTACGTCCGTGGTGGGGTATTGTATGTTGCCCGTGGTGATCTTATCGGCTGCCTCGCTCTTCGTCCCCCAAGGCGGCACCTTCAGGATCGCCGTGGCTGCCGTCTTCGTATTGTGGGCTACTAGGGTTTGCACAGGGCTCATGGTTGCGCTTGCTGACGGAGGCGATGAGCATCGCGGCTTAATAGCGTATGCTTGTTTCTTGATTTACACTCTGTTTTCGCTTCTTGTGATATTTTAGTGGAAATTGGTGTCAAACAATTTGGGCATTGCAAATTTTTGTTGGTTGGCTAATAGTGAATGGGTTAAAACATCTCTTTAGCTGTGATTAGGTGAGTGTGGTGTTGTGAATTGGAAATATCATGAATGTATGTTGGGATATGTAGAAAATGGAGATATCACGACGAAATGAATTTATCATTTTCGGTCAGGAATACATGGAAAAATGTTTTACCTCATGAGTGTTACTTGTTAGAAATGGATTTTTCGTCATGTATCGTCTCAATTACATTGCATTGTTGCTGTTGTTGTTTTGATTTTATTCTCCTATAAGTTCATGAATTAAGTGATTCATTCTGCTCTGTACTCCCTGCGTAGATAAGCTAAGATATATCGGTTGCTCTGTCATCAAGCCACTTTGTAGCATAAGATGTGCTTGACTAAATGTTGAAACAAAATAGGGACTTAAAAGGTTTGTATCTGGGGTTCACTATGAAGCATGAGATTGAGACGATAGTCAAGTTCACACTGTGATGGTTGGCTATGCGCAGACTGGACACACAAGGCCACCTGCATCAAATGGTAAAAGAAGGCACCGTGTTCTTGGTGTTTGGAAATAGTCATCTAGGGCTCATTTTAACTGGTTAGGTGCAAAAGTGAAAGCTTCAAATGATTTTAGTTTTGCTGATTTAGGCTAACAAAGCTGTAGTCCATAGGATTGGGTAATTCATCTATATGATGATCTTAAACTTTGCGAAATAGGAAGTTGTAGTGGGTCTTCCCATTAATTACTGTAAATCTGTAGATTTTGGCTAGGGGCTGTGACCGAGTCATAAAATGAAGGATCATTAGTTTCTTGCATTTCTTTTTGGTTAGGTTTTTGGAAACTTTAACGTAGTTTTATCTGTTTAAAATGTCTTGTAGTCGCTATAGATTTATCGGAATGTGCGGTAGGTGAAGAGACACCTTATAGCTGAAACTAAGAAATTTGAAACTTTCATTGAATTTGCAAGATGGGAGGAGAAAAATTACTGAAAATAGTGAACATACTGTTCTTCTGTGTAGAAGGAAATAGGGGGATCTGCTTATGGTATTTGCATCGCTTCTACAATTTTAGCTTAAAGGATGAACGTGATGAATTTATCCTTAAAGATGGAAAATGTGGCTCTGGTTTATATGCTCAATGTTCAGGCCTCGTTTGGTGTCTAGGATTTGACTGGATTGGAATGGATAACGCGCTAAACGAGCCCTTAGAGCTAGATAGCAATAGACGTTATGACACTTATTAGGTGATTGGTATCCAAACTCCGTAGATTGGTTTTGTCGCATTGTTAAGACTCCGGAGAGCTATTGCTTTTGGTTGTTAACTAGCTTAAAGGTTTAAAAGTAGTGTGTCCTAAGCAATGTATTAAAAGCATGAGGAGTGGGTGAGGCGTCCGATGGATAGCCCGGCCTAGGCGTGAGGCATGAGGCGAAGCCTTACGGGACCTTAATTAATAAAGGACTGCTAAGAAAAACAGAGGAAACAAGTGAGAAAAATAGAGGAAACATGGGACTCTTGGGGTTTTAAAAATAAAATAAAAATAGACTTGACAAAACGACGTCGTTTTGGGCCAACTCATTTAAAAAAAGAAATAAAGATTTGGCCGAAACGATGTCGTTTTGAAACAAGTCTTTAAAAAAAAATCCCTCTTCTTCTTCGCTGTCGTCTTCCTTGTGAAGACGCTGCACACCTTGCAACCCTAAACCCAGATGGTAGAGCCTTAAAGCAGAGCATTTGACTTCGATTTGGGTCGCGGATGGATCTGGGAACACCCGCCAACCGCCTTTTGGCGTGCCTCATCCGCCTAGGCCACGCCTCGGCGAGTTTTCGCCCACTTCCACTGGGCAGAGGTGTTATCACTCCTGCCCCACCTCCAAAGCCATCTAGACTCGCCTCGGGGCGCATCTTTTAAAACATTGGTCCTAAGTGTGCAATATCTTGTGTTTAGTTGAGGTAGAGGAGCGTCTTTTAAAACATTGGTCCTAAGTGTGCAATATCTTATGTTTAGTTGAGGCCCTAAGTGTGCAATATCTTGTGTTTAGTTGAGGTAGAGGGGCGTCTTTTAAAACATTGGTCCTTAGTGTGCAATATCTTGTGTTCAATTGAGGTAGTTAGGACTATTGCTCAAACTTTGGTGGTTTTGGTAGATATTGAATCAACGGTTCCTTTTCGACACTGGATTGTTTGCTTTTCTAGATTCAAATTAGCTTCCATCTTTCTTTTATTAAATTATTAACTGCTCATCCACTTACAAAGATGTTGACTTTATATACCGTATTGCGTGTGATGAAATCGGATTCTTTACTTTGGTATTTTGTTGTGGAAAATGGAATAGTTTTGTATCGTATGATGTCGCATGTGTGTGTACATGTCATATTGTGCGTTAGAATTTGGAAGATCATTTGTATTTGAGTTGGTAGTGAGTACAATTTTCTTTTTCCTTGCCAATTGGGACTATAATATGGATATCTTGTACCAGTATTTTGAGAATCCACCTGAATACATCAGGAGTCTGGACTCGTTTATTCAACAATATAATGATAGTCTCTAGGACTTACCTTATGCGTCACACGCATAGGTGGGATTTGACTTTGGAAGGCCAACCTCCACATTCTTTTATTGTCGTTGTAAATTTGTTGAAGCGCGTTCTACTTCCCACCTGAACTCCAACCTCACCACCAAACGCCTGAAATGTGCACATATATAAGTAGAATATATAGCATGTCTATGAAACTTAAAACAACCCACAATCATGGCTTCTCTCGTTGGAGGTTCCGCTTCTGCGCAACGTGCCGGACCGGACATGGAAGACGAAGACGATCTCTTCGAGATTGATCTCGATTCGGTTGACAGCATTCCTCAAACACAGTACTACTGGAAGAGCTATTTCACAGAGACCGGAAATGCATTGCTTGCCAATTGCCTACTGCCGGTCACTGACATCTCCCGTGCCATCCCCATGGTTTCGAAGGCACTGTCGTCGTCGGAGCGGACTGGCAATGTTGTAATGATCCCACAGGCCGTGCCCTTGGGGCAGCTTCTAGGGTTGCCATTCCTGGAGGCTTTTGGGCTTCACCAAAAGGAAATGAAACAAATGTGCAATCCGATTAGGAAAACTGAAGCTCATTTGGATGTGGGGCCTGAGCCACTAGAAGGAAGGTATCACTTTGTTTATGGGAGATGAGTGCTGGTCTCCCAAAAGTCCAACCGAAGAAAAAGGAGAAAAGATTTACGACTTTTACTTGTAAATGTCTACTAATTAATGATATCCTCTCTGTCAACTAAAAGAGGGTGAAAATACCAATTAGTCTTCTATCACAAAAAAAAATTAAATTTACGGATTTTAATGAGATTTGCGATCACGTCACTTGTTCTTTCAGAGTCAACCACTTTTTAGTAGCATCATAGGGCAACTGTATGTACGGAGTGACTTGATGGTAATCAATTATGCATTTGAATTCAATGGTTGAAGCCTTGATGTCCACCCTTCTGTGTGAATGACTTTTTATAATCAAATAGGGCTCTTCCCATAAGGGCTTGCGTCTCCACTAAACTAACTTAAACCTTGTGTTTAATACCCATAATTTCTGCATTGGCCGAATTTCTTGACGAAGAATTAGGCTGCTATGAACCTTTTTCTTCTTCCCATTGTAGAATGTAGCCTGCTTGCAAAACTCATGAATTTCCTTAAGTCTGATGGGCTGTGAAGCTGTGTTGTCTGTTCCAACAGCAAAAACATTTAAATCAGTAGCCTGCCCTATATGCAAAAGTGTAGTGTCCAAGAGCTGGCCATGTGATTTCCCATATTCTGAATTGGTGTGAACGTTCCCATCCAATCCGTCAATTTCAAAGCACACTTGCAGCTTAGTTGATTGCTTTTCAGCATCTTGATATGGTATGTGTGGTGTATGGACTTGAGTAGGAACGAATTCTTGAGAAATTTCAGCATCATCAGGGGTTCTTTCCTCCATTGGGCATGGGTCACTGACAAGTGGATCTTTAATTTCAATATCTCCCAGCATGTTATTGCTCTCCACAAATTGGGATGGTCGAATTATGTCGCATTCCTCTAAACATTGTGGCACATTAGGCTGCTCAAAAGGCTGTTGAGTACCTGCCCATCTAAAACTAAGATGTTTTTTTTCAAATTTGGAGCGTAGTAATCAAAAGTGTTGTTCCAACGCCAAAGTGAGTCGTTCCTCATATTAATATGCTCCTTCACATAGTCTGGAAAATATTTCCTATCAGGGCATTGCAAAATTTCATGGGTGTTTGAACAACAAAGGACACAAACTGTAGGTTTAAATCCATAGAAACCTTGTTTTTCGAAAGAAACCCATAAAGGTGGTCCTGGTGGTGGCTCCATCATTGAATTGCTCTCAAAATTAACAAACCACAACCTACAAAAATAAAAATAAAATCAAGTACATAAAAAGATATATACAAAAATAATTAACTAAGAATATGATTATCCAAAATTATTTGAAACAATCCCCAGTAACGGCGCCAATTTCTTGATAGGGATTTTTACCACCTGTAAAAGTAGGGATAAAAACACTTAAAAATACTTGCAAGAGTACAAGGTCATCGTAGTATAGCAGCTCAAGTAATGTCGTTTTCCGCAGGGATTGACTGAATAATTTGTATTTAAACTAATTCTTAATTAACTATTTAAAACAAAGTTTGGAAAATGTTGATTTTATGACCTAAAATATTAAAAACGAATTTAATTAAAAACAATTAAATAAATTGGCAAAGTAAAGAAAACAAAAGAAAATAGTTTTGAAAATAAATTTGAGCACTAGGGTTCCGCCGTCTCCTTAACAATCTTATGTAGATTTACCAATTACTTATGACTTACCCATGCAACTTTGAAGGTTAGGTTTTCCTAATACATATTCTACTCGTGGTATTCAAACTAGAATGTATATCAAACATGCAATCCGTCTGTGATATTCAGATGAAATATAAACATGTATGACTCATTATGCTTTGTGACACCTTTTGAAAAACCATGCAACCCCTAAGACATGGTATTCACCCTAGGTGAAATTACAACTATCAACCACAAGAAGTAATACTCAATCCCCCGGTGGTATTCTAACCGAATTGCATCCGATTACTTATCTAAACATCCTAATGGTAGCTAAGTATTAAGATATAGAGACAGTTTAAAGCACAATGATTAATAATTTAAAGCAGTGATTAATAATTTGTGACAGCCCGTCCCTGATTTTAAGAGTTTTAAAGTTTTAATAAAGGATTTTACAAAAATGCCCTTTAAGGCACGCGCGTTATTCAAGATTAATCGTTGTGTCGTGCCATCTAAGATTTTTTTGGTACATCCTCGTAATATTCGTCGCTACGGACGCGTGGGCGCAGACGGTTCGTGATTTGGAGTTATATCGAATAAGTTATTAACATTTGAAATTTGGGCATATTAAGAATTATAATTAGTGTAAAATCTGGAATCTCCTTTACAAAAATGGACGGCCCAGATTTAATGAAAATTAAATGGATGGTTGGGATGAGAAGAAAGAAGGTTTTATGTGTGTGTGTGTGTGACTGGTGAAGAATCAAGAATCAGAGGCAGAAACAGGATTGGGCAAGGCTGCCCAATCGGAGAAGAAGAAGGAGAGGGCGAATGGGGAGTGGAGAGAGGAACCAGCTTGGCCAATCGGAACAGAGGAAAGGAGAAAGGAGAGAGGGTGAGAAGCGGAGTAATAGAAGAGAAACGGGTTGGGAGAACCCGTGACCCGCGCGCGACCCGTCGGGTTTTCTACACATTTCCGTCGAAATCCCACCATTTTTCCGGCGAATTGCTTCACGAAACTTCATGGGAAACACTCTAGGAGCCTTCCTCTATCCATTCCATCTTAAATTGGAAGAGATTTGGCTATAAAAATGGAGAAAACGCAATGAGGGTGCCGCGACTGTCTTGTTTGAATTTCACCCAATTCCGAAGCAATTTCTTTCAATTTCCACCACCCATACACTTCTCTTGAGGCCTAGAACAAAGCCCAAGCATGAGTTGGAGCATCGGAGTTGATTTGAGGACGAATTGGAACTCACCCAATTCTAGGGTTCCGCACGGTTTTGGTGGAATTGGAGCATTTCTGGGACAAATTGGCCTTGGCCTCAGGTATAAAGTTTACTCTACTCATTGATATCTTCAATTCTGTATTTTTTGAGAATTTTTGGAAATAGTTAGATTTTCCGGCGAGCCGGGACGGCCAACCGCCACCCGCGGCGGAGCGTGGCCAATGGCCCGCCAATGTCATTCTTAGCATGTGTTTAATACTCTAGGTTCAGTTTTGATAATTGATGGACGTAAATTGAGTAATTGAACCTAAGTTCGTTACGATTCGTGGTTAGGTGAAAATGTGAATTGACGATCCGACCGTTGGATCGTCACCAAACTTTGATACGTTGTAATACGTAATATTTGAGGATTATAGGAACTTACGGATCGGGAATCCGATTTACGGATCTTCCGGAATTGGAGTTGTAAGTCCATAATATAGAATGTTAACCGTCACTTAGTTTTGATAATTGACGGAGATCCGACCGTTGGATGGTAAGAAAATTTTAGGATGTTGTTCTAGAGATATATTGTGGACCTCTGGAAGTTATGGATTGGAAATATGAGTTGCAGATCTTTCGGATCGAACTGCGTAGTGACGTGTTTTATATAAGTTATATTCTATCGATATGATTATGAGATTGGATTTGATTATTGTTCTAGGCGCCGATCATCATGATGCCTTGATGTGTTGTGCTAGGGAGTTGTAGGGCGAACTCTAGGTGAGTGGGCAGTATTTCTGTTTATACCTATATACTACTGATTTTCCCAGAAATTGAGTCTTAATGAAAGTATGTTTTTAAAATGCCATGCATACATGATATGAATGATATGAATGATATGAGCTATATGAATTGATAATTGATGCATGTATATATATGAATTGGTGTTGTGGACGCACAGGTAAGTATCAGGTGAGTTTTATGTTATTCATGTGCATTGTTGATGTTGATAGCTCATAACCTGCAATCATGGTGTTAGTGCTTATATTCTTCGCCTCGCACCACACGCTCACCTTGGATCCAAGTAGGTGCATGTTGTATAAACCATAGAGGGTTCCGACATGTCGTACAGACCATGAGAGGGTTCTGACTGATAGGTGACCTTAGATTGTGTACACAAATGATTGATGAGAGAAGCCCTAGAGCATATTATTACACCATTCATACAGACTACTTCAGGTAGTTCCGACTTATCTGCAGTGTAGTGCCGTACAGATCACCGAGGTGACTCCGGTTGGTTGGATATTGAGCTATAGAATTAACCGTACAGGACCAACTGCAGGGTCTCCGGTTAATTCACCATTTCACCTGTTACATTGATGCATCATTCATTCTGTTTTTAAAAGGTTTTAACATGACATACTTTCTGGTTTTAAAGAAAGATTTATGAAATGAGATTTATGAAAAGTATTATGTTATTATACTATTTTCTGGGAAAGTATACAGGTTTTACAGCGAGGGGTTAGAAATGTTTTAAAGGAAAGGTTTTCGAAAAGCTTTGTTTTGCTGACCCACTCAATTTTGTTTTGCGCCCCTCCAGGTTCAAGTTAGCAGAGCTTTGGTGGTCACGAGGAATCCAACGGTGTTCTGACAGAATTCACAAAAGTAGGACTCACTCTCGGGTGTTTCATCTTAGTAATTGTATTCTTTAAAGCTTCCGAACTGTGTAAATGGTTACGTCACTCCCACGTGACGGCAAGCATGCCCTTCTTCGGGACGGGGTGTGTCATAATTCAAAGCATGCATGCATAATATAATAAGCAATTAAATAAAAACTACATATTCATGCTAAGACTCAAGGCATCGCCCTAGTAAAAGAAAATTAGTTACGAACAACCATAAAACAAAAGGAATTTTATTGAAATAGAAAAAGGATACAAAACACCTTGAAAATAAACTTCAAAAACTCTCTAGAGTAGTGTGTGCGTTTCCCCTAACCCTAATGGCTAAAAAGCCTTATTTATATTACTAGAAAAGAAAATCCTTCATAGAAAATGTCTTCTAAAAACTAGGAAACATAATAGAATAAGATAACTAGGAAATAAAAAGTTTCCTATTTAAACTGAAATTCAGACTTCTGAGAAAATCAGACTTTTGACCGACCAAATCAACTCCGATTTGGACTCAAAAGGTCTATTTTTAAAGCTTGAGACGTCGCCTACAAATCCCCAGAAGGAATCTTTCTTAAAATATACCATCTTGACCTTCAAAATACCCAAAATGTCCATAAACGTTAATATGAGAAAGCTACGCACTGGATCTTTATTTCATTGTCAAACAGCTTGGTAGAAAAATCTGGAAATTTGATACAATCATCTTGAAAGACTCACGAACATCTTTCAATTAGAATCACTTCAAAATTCATCCATTTGATCACGTTTTGCACCAAAGGAAGTTGAA